AAAGCAACACTTGAGTGGTTTAAGCGGAAACATTTACATTTATTGGAATGGCCTAGTCAAAGACCAGACCTCAATCCAATTGAGAATCTGTGGTATGACTTAAAGATTGCTGTACACCAGCGGAACCCATCCAACTTGAAGGAGCTGGAGCAGTTTTGCCTTGAAGAATGAGCAAAAATTCCAGTGGCTAGATGTGCCAAGCTTATAGAGACATACCTCAAGAGAGTTGCAGCTGTAATTGCTGCAAAAGGTGGCTCTACAAAGTATTGAGTTTGGGGGGGTGAATAGTTATGCACGCTCAATTTTTCTGTTTTTTTGTCTTATTTCTTGTTTGTTTCACAATAAGAAATATTTTGCATCTTCAAAGTGGTAGGCATGTTGTGTAAATCAAATGATACAAACCCCCCCAAAAATCAATTTTAATTCCAGGTTGTAAGGCAACAAAATAGGAAAAATGCCAAGGGGGGTGAAAACTTTTGCAAGCCACTGTATTGGCTGCAGTTTTCTGCAAATGGAAGTAATAGAAGTAATTATATTTAGATGGTATTCTGCTCTCTTCTCTCTGTGGCACTGTGGGGCTAAACAAACATAGAATTCCATCGAAATATAATTATTTCTATTACTTCCATTTGCAGAAAACTGTCTACAACCACAGAATAGAATGGCATCTGAAGTCAATATGTGTCTTTATGCATATTCACTTTCTGACTCATTCCCCTGAGTGTGTTGTTCTTTGAAACCCACAGTCAGAAAACTAGGTTTAGATTAGAGATGGGCTGAAATTGAAATTGGGGTTCTTCGGGCAATATCCACTTATTGCTGTGCTGATTGTGATGGTTGAAGCTAGAGGCTCAGGGCTAGAGGAGGGTGAGGTGGTGGCCTGATGTAGGCTTGGAGGGACAGCAGCACCCTGGCAAGCGTTGGCACTGTGTGTCTCTATGTGTGTCTCAGTGAATGGGTTTGATACAGGGCACACACACAGTGGGTTTCTTCCTCTCAGCGAGACCCCACAAAAGGGCCATTGTGGCCTGAGATCCACAGGCTTTACATAATGAGGACCCGACAGTGGTCCAACCTCCGCTTCGCTCTGCGCTCTCCTCTGGCCAGCCTCAACGGTCGGTATGTAATGGTCTCCTTTCAGCATGGCTGGACAGGGCTGTGGGTTGTGGTGTGGACATCCCTTCACTCGTTGAGACCATTGTTGAGCACTGACTGAGAAGAATCCACTCCCAGTGTGATACTGTACTGTCCTCCCATTATGATGATGTACTACTGAATGAGATTGCACAGTCTGCTTTGGTGCAGTGTGTTTAGTTATCTAAGAAATGGGACTTAATTGGACATGCCAGTAGGATTCCATGCTCTGCAAGCTTTATGATGATGCTCAGACTGAGAGTTCATCTCACTTCCTTGCGTTGCGTGTTTGTGGTTATGTGTTTCTTGGCAGCTCTTTTTTGGTGCGCTGCAGTCCTCTCTCAGACAGAAAGACAGACAGCATGCTGTATGGCCACTTCTCTCATATCTGCCTTTTGATCTGGGCGGTAGGAAACTGTTGGCATGCTGAAGACCCGAGCAGTTGGAGACTGCAGCGTGAGGAGACTGCAACAAATCAAATCAAATCACATTTGATTTGTCACATGCGTTGAATACAACAGGTGTAGACCTTATTGTGAAATGCTTACTTACAAGCCCTTAACCAACAATGCAGTTCAAGAAATAGAGTTAAGAAAATATTTACTAAATAGCCTAAAGTAAAAAATCTAAAGTAACACAATAAAATTACATAACAAAAACGAGGCTACACGAGGGTACCGGTACCGAGTCAATGTGCAGGGGTACAGGTTAGTCGAGGTAGTTTGTACATATAGGTTGGGGTAAAGTGACTATGCATAGATAATAAACAACAAGTAGCAGCTGTGTAAATAGGCCATTTGATTAATTGTTCAGCAGTCTTATAGCTTGGGGGTAGAATCTGTTAAGGAGCCTTTTGGACCTGCTCCGGTACTGCTTGCCTTGCGGTAGCAGAGAGAACAGTCTATGACTTGGGTGACTGGAGTCAACACGTGTTGTTGCCCTGTTTCATATCAGCCTCTACTGTATGAGCGATTAGTCTGAGATTACAGTGGGTAGAAATCTCTCACTTTCTCTAGTCTAAATGATCCTAGCCTCATCTGTGCCAAAGTCTGTTACCACACTGTGCCAAAGTCTGTTACCACACTGTGCCAAAGTCTGTTACCACACTGTGCCAAAGTCTGTTACCACACTGTGTCAAAGTCTGTTACCACACTGTGCCAAAGTCTGTTACCACACTGTGCCAAAGTCTGTTACCACACTGTGCCAAAGTCTGTTACCACACTGTGCCAAAGTCTGTTACCACACTGTGCCAAAGTCTGTTACCACACTGTGCCAAAGTCTAGTTTGTAATATACTGTGTTGGCTGGAGGAAGGAAGCTATTGCTTATGTTACAGGCTTTGTTTTTTTTTCTTGATTTTGTTTTCTATTTAGAGGTTGGTTCTGTTTGGTTCAGTGCTATCCGGAATCCTTGGGACTTCCATACCCTAAACCCTAACCTTAACCCCTACCCTAACCATAACCTAATCCTTACCTTAACCCTTACCTTAACCATTTTACATTTCTACTTCAATGGGGTAGGGACGTCCCAAGGATCCCGGATAGCACGGACCGTTCTGTTTGGATTGGAATCATCCTCGTTGTTCAGGATGTGTTGCACCTGTTGTATGCGTTAGTCAGAAGGTGTTTCACCAGTGATGTACAGTATATAAACCCTGGATTGCTGATGCTATTTGAAGCCACTGGCCGGCCATATTGGCAGTAGAAGCATTCCTCCATAGGAATTAATGGAGATCTACAGTATTTCAATGAAATGTTTCAAGGACAAAATAACATTTATTTAAGTATTGTTTTGTTGTAGTGGGGACAGTAACATTAGTAATCTCTAAAATGTTATGTATATATATACAGTGAGGGAAAAAAGTATTTGATCCCCTGCTGATTTTGTACGTTTGCTCACTGACAAAGAAATGATCAGTCTATAATTTTAATGGTAGGTTTATTTGAACAGTGAGAGACAGAATAACAACAAAATAATCCAGAAAAATGCATGTCAAAAATGTTATAAATTGATTTACATTATAATGAGGGAAATAAGTATTTGACCCCCTCTCAATCAGAAAGATTTCTGGCTCCCAGGTGTCTTTTATACAGGTAACGAGCTGAGATTAGGAGCACACTCTTAAAGGGAGTGCTCCTAATCTCAGTTTGTTTCCTGTATAAAAGACACCTGTCCACAGACGCTATCAATCAATCAGATTCCAAACTCTCCACCATGGCCAAGACCAAAGAGCTCTCCAAGGATGTCAGGGACAAGATTGTAGACCTACACAAGACTGGAATGGGCTACAAGACCATCGCCAAGCAGCTCGGTGAGAAGATGACAACAGTTGGTGCGATTATTCGCAAATGGAAGAAACACAAAATAACTGTCAATTTCCCTCGGCCTGGGGCTCCATGCAAGATCTCACCTCGTGGAGTTGCAATAATCATGAGAATGGTGAGGAATCAGCCCAGAACTACATGGGAGGATCTTGTCAATGATCTCAAGGCAGCTGGGACCATAGTCACCAAGAAAACAATTGGTAACACACTACGCCGTGAAGGACTGAAATCCTGCAGCGCCCGCAAGGGCGCACAAATACAGGGCCGTCTGAAGTTTGCCAATAAACATCTGAATGATTCAGAGGAGAACTGGGTGAAAGTGTTGTGGTCAGATGAGACCAAAATCGAGCTCTTTGGCATCAACTCAACTCACCGTGTTTGGAGGAGGAGGAATGCTGCCTATGACCCCAAGAACACCATCCCCACCGTCAAACATGGAGGTGGAAACATTATACTTTGGGGGTGTTTTTCTGCTAAGGGGACAGGACAACTTCACCGCATCAAAGGGACGATGGACGGGGCCATGTACCGTCAAATCCTGGGTGAGAACCTCTTTCCCTCAGCCAGGGCATTGAAAATGGGTCGTGGATGGGTATTCCAGCATGACAATGACCCAAAACACAACAAAAGAGTGGCTCAAGAAGAAGCACATTAAGGTCCTGGAGTGGCCTAGCCAGTCTCCAGACCTTAATCCCATAGAAAATCTGTGGAGGGAGCTGAAGGTTCGAGTTGCCAAATGTCAGCCTCGAAACCTTAATGACTTGGAGAAGATCTGCAAAGAGGAGTGGAACAAAATCCCTCCTGAGATGTGTGCAAACCTGGTGGCCAACTACAAGAAACGTCTGACCTCTGTGATTGCCAACAAGGGTTTTGCCACCAAGTACTAAGTCATGTTTTGCAGAGGGGTCAATACTTATTTCCCTCATTAAAATGCAAATCAATTTATAACATTTTTGACATGCGTTTTTCTGGATTTTTTTGTTGTTATTCTGGCTCTCACTGTTCAAAAAAACCTACCATTAAAATTATAGACTGATCATTTCTTTGTCAGTGGGCAAACGTACAAAATCAGCAGGGGATCAAATACTTTTTTCCCTCACTGTGTATATATATATATATATATATATATATATATATATATATATATATATATATATATATATATATATATTTTAAATGTTGTGTTTATGCGTGTTTGCGAACCATGCCATTTGCTTCCAACCAGGTTTCCTTCCATGTGTTTGATCTGATTGTGATCTCTCTCTCTCTATCTCTGTGGTAGAGCTTGGACCAGACTGTGCCACCCATGGCTGCAAGGGCAACTGCTCAGTAACACACCAAGGTCCCAAGTGTTACTGCAACATTGGCTATGAAGTCAGCCACGATGGAAAGACATGTAAAGGTAAGACTCCTGAGTCCAAATACATAAAGTTACACTAAACATATGACAACAGTACCATGTCTGACCAGTGAATGACTGACTGACGGACTGACTCACTATACTGACTGACTGACTGACATTGCCCTGCCTGAATCCTCAGATTTCAACGAGTGCAGTGTGTACGGGACATGCAGTCAGACGTGCTCCAACAACAAGGGCTCCTACACCTGCAGCTGTGTGGAGGGCTACCTACTGCAGCCAGACAGCCGCTCCTGCAAGGCCAAGAACGGTGAGACACACACAATCAAACATCAACATAAAGCTAGACTTTTCTTCAGACATATCACCAAGTAATAATTGTGTTTCAGTTGATTTGTTTTGTTTTGATCCTGTCATGCTGTGTTATTTTGGGGGAATCAGATTTGCACGGTGTGACACTCTCTCTAATGCTGTTACAACTGAATTTACAGGGAAGAGATGTCAGAGATATGTGACCTTTCTTCCATCTCCTGTCACCATCTTCCCCTCTTGACCTCTCCTTCTTTCTCTTCCCCTCCTCCCTCCCTCTCCCCCTCTCTCCGTCTCTCTCTCTCAACCGAGCTCTCGTCCTCTCTCTTCATACTCTACTCTTCCTCTCGATCATATCATCTCTCTCCGCGATCTCTCTCTCTGCTGCTTGTCCTTTGCTCCTCTCTCTCTCTCTCTCTGCTCTCCTCTCTCACCTCCCTCTCCTCCCTCTCTCTCTCCTCTTCCCTCTCTCTCTCCATCTCTCCCTCCCTCTCTCTCTCTCCCTCCCTCCCTCTGTCTCTCTCTCTCTCCCCTCCCTTTCTTCTTCCTCTCCTCCCTCTCTCAGATCCTGTGGAACAGCTGCCGGTGCTGCTGATCACTAACCTCAATGACATCCGCTGTACGTCTCTGAGTGGCATGCCCACCCGCCTCCCGGCCATCAGCACCAAGAAGGTTAGAGCTCTTTTTTATTTCCTTATTATACATATTTCCTGTTTGTTTACTGTTAAGGTAACACTTTATTTGGATAGTCCCAAATAGATGGTTTGTAGATGTTCAGTCGATTACTATTTGCATTGACCCCCTTATTTTAATTTCTTGCATTGACTCTTTTGCACAGGCTCGATGTACACTCACTACACTGACACTCCAACACACACACACACACACACACACACACACACACACACACACACACACACACACACACACACACACACACACACACACACACACACACACACACACACACACACACACACACACACACACACACACACACACACACATTCATTCACATTCCTTCACAGTCTTCACAGTCTTCACATACGCTGCTGCTACTCTCTGTTTATTATCTATGTATAGTCACTTTTATCCCTACCTACATCTACATATTACCTGGACTAACCTGTACCCCGCACATTGACTCAGTACCAGTAACCCCTGTATATAGCCTTGTTATTGTTATTTTATTGTGTTACTATTTTTCCATTAGATTATTTAGCAAATTGTTCTAATTTTTTTAAACTATGCATTGTTGGTTAAGGGCTCATAAGTAAGCATTTCACGGTAAGGTCTACACCTGTTGTATTTGGCGCATGTGACAAATACAATTTGATTTGATTTTAACAACGTTTCATCTAACTATCCACTCACAATATCCCTAGCTAGCCCTATCCCTAACCTTAACCCCTACACTAACCCTAGTCCTGTTGTGTCCCACACAGAGGATCACGTTGGAAATAAAAGCTTTATAATGCTGATTACAGTGGCTTGCGAAAGTATTCAACCCCCTAATGAACTCCCCCATAACCTAATGGTGATTATACTACATGGAAGGGGAGGGTATCCTCGCTGTCTATAAGGATTGTAATGCCTACAGTGGCTTGCGAAAGTATTCACCCCCCTTTGGCATTTTTCCTATTTTGTTGCCTTACAACCTGGAATTAAAATGGATTTTTGGGGGGTTTGTATCATTTGATTTACACAACATGCCTACCACTTTGAAGATGCAAAATATTTTTTATTTAGAAACAAACAAGAAATAACACAAAAAAACTTGAGCGTGCATAACTATTCACCCCCCCAAACTCAATACTTTGTAGAGCCACCTTTTGCAGCAATTACAGCTGCAAGTCTCTTTGGGTATGTCTCTATAAGCTTGGCTCATCTAGCCACTGGGATTTTTGCCCATTCTTCAAGGCAAAACTGCTCCAGCTCCTTCAAGTTGGATGGGTTCCGCTGGTGTACAGCAATCTTTAAGTCATACCACAGATTCTCAATTGAATTGAGGTCTGGGCTTTGACTAGGCCATTCCAAGACATTTAAATGTTTCCCCTTAAACCACTCAAGTGTTGCTTTAGCAGTATGCTTAGGGTCATTGTCCTGCTGGAAGGTGAACCTCCGTCCCAGTCTCAAATCTCTGGAAGACTGAAACAGGTTTCCCTCATGAATTTCCCTGTATTTAGCGCCATCCATCATTCCTTCAATTCTGACCAGTTTCCCAGTCCCTGCCGATGAAAAACATCCCCACAGCATGATGCTGCCACCACCATGCTTCACTGTGGGGATGGTGTTCTCGGGGTGATGAGAGGTGTTGGGTTCAGTTTTAGTCTCATCTGACCAGATTACCTACTTCTATATGCTTGGGGAGTCTCCCACATGCCTTTTGGCGAACACCAAACTTGTTTGCTTATTCTTTCCTTTAAACAATGGCTTTTTTCTGGCCACTCCTCCGTAAAGCCCAGCTCTGTGGAGTGTACGGCTTAAAGTGGTCCTCTGTAGCTCAATTGGTAGAGCATGGCGCTTGTAACGCAAGGGTAGTGGGTTCGATCCCCGGGACCACCCATACGTAAAAATGTATGCACACATGACTATAAGTCGCTTTGGATAAAAGTGTCTGCTAAATGGCATATTATTATTATTATTATTATAGTTACTCCAATCTCCGCTGTGGAACTTTGCAGCTCCTTCAGGGTTATCTTTGGTCTCTTTGTTGCCTCTCTGATTAATGCCCTCCTTGCCTGGTCCGTGAGTTTTGGTGCGCGGCTCTCTCTTGGCAGGTTTGTTCTGGTGCCATATTCTATCCATTTTTTAATAATGGATTTAATGGTGCTCCGTGGGATGTTCAAAGTTTCAGATATTTTTTTATAACCCAACCCTGATCTGTACTTCTCCACAACTTTGTCCCTGACCTGTTTGGAGAGCTCCTTGGTCTTCATGGTGCCGCTTGCTTGGTGGTGCCCCTTGCTTAGTGGTGTTGCAGACTCTGGGGCCTTTCATATGCACGCACCACTTTTCCGTTATTTATTTTTTATAATTTTTTGAAACAAGTAATTATTTTCATTTCACTTCACCAATTTGGACTATTTTATGTATGTCCATTAGATGAAATCCAGATAAAAATCAATTTAAATTACAGGTTCTAATGCAACAAAATAAGAAAAACGCCAAGGGGGATGAATACTTTTGCAAGGCTCCTTCTGTCTTATCCTCTGTGAATTGAAACTATTGTGAAGTGTTTTTGGGTCTTTGAAAAGCGCTATTTACAACCCAAGGTATTATTGTTGAATCTTTATTTACTTTGTCCAAAAACAGACCACTGCCATGGACTTCAACTACGCCCAGGAGACTGTATGTTGGATCGATGTGGGCGACACGTCCGCCAACACCCATCTGAAGTGTGCCTCCATCCCTGAGCTGAAGACTGTCAACAACATCAGGATAATTAACATCTCACTCAGCCTGCACCGTGAGTAGAGGACACACACCCACACATCCACACACACCCACACACCCACACACACACACACACACACACACACACACACATACACACACATACAGGCTGCACTGTGAGTAGAGGACACACACCCACACAGCCACACACACACCCACACACACACACATACACACACATACAGGCTGCACCGTGAGTAGAGGACACACAACCACACAGCCACACACCCACACACACCCACATACACACAAACACACACATACAGGCTGCACCGTGAGTAGAGGACACACACCCACACAGCCACACACCCACACACACATACACACACATACAGGCTGCACCGTGAGTAGAGGACACACACCCACACAGCCACACACCCACACACACCCACACACCCACACACCCACACACACATACACACACATACAGGCTGCACCATGAGTAGAGGAGCACCTACTGCTCCTTTTTTTACCTACCGCTCCTACTGGAAGGACACACACATACACACGCACACATAAACACACACATACAGTAGACGTGATGCAATAACACTCAGCGGCGCCCGACCCCGAAAACTGCGTAAAAGTGCAGAGCAGAAATGCTGAGCGCAGCACTATTCTAGTAAAGGTTCCTGTTCAAGAACCGTGCTTCCCTGACATGGTGCTAAATCCCTATGAATGGATGTGTCACTGATATACAATGTCATACAGGGAGAGGTGTAGTTACAATATTATGCTTGCAGGCACAATACAATATAGAGAAAGGGTGTAGTTACAGAGTGCTTGCAGGGCTTAACTGGCACATTGTGTTGTCATACAAATTAGGGCTGCATTCCAAGTGGCACGCTATTCCATTTGGGACGGAGCCTAGTTCACCTCAGTATAGTTTGATATACTGACCTCAGTCTACAGTACAGTACAGTACAGTACAGTAGACTGCATTTTAGCTAACCCTAACCCCTTTCCCAACCTTAACCTAATTCTCCTAACCTGCTGCGTAAGTTCTCCTAAACCTGCTACAAAAAGTCAATTTTGACAAAAGCGGCATTCCTTCTAGCCATGACCCTACTTGATGCTACAGTAAGGGTTTAGCCATGATCCATTATAAACCACCTTCCATTATTGATTCTGATTGGACAACAGTTTGTGATAGATATAATGAGGGTTTGTCCAAATGGCATTCCCTATTCCCTATGTGCCCTGCTCAAAAGTTAGGCCCTGGTCAAAAGTAGTGCACTAAATAGGGAATTTGAATATCTGGCTTTGAATATAAATCTCTGCGCATTTATATTTTGTTGTCTGCTGTTGTTCTAGACCCCCATCTGCTATTGGCTCTCTGGATTCTATTTTAGAATTATTATCACAGAATGTCAAATCTGATTTTGTGCTTCTGGGTAACCTGAACATAGACTGGTGGACATCCAACTCTGATCAACTCAAGAATCTATGTCATCCCCAAAGCCAACACCTCCTTTGGCCGCCATTCGTTCCAGTTCTCTGCTGCCAATGACTGGAACGAATTGCAAAAATCTCTGAAGCTGGAGACTCTTATCTCCCTCATTAACTTTAAGCATCAGTTGTCAGAGGACCTTACCGATCACTGCACCTGTACACAGCCCATCTGAAATTAGCCCACCCAACTACCTCATCCCCATATTGTTATTTATTTTGCTCATTTGCACCCCAGTATCTCTATTTGCACATCATCTCTTGCACATCTATCATTCCAGTGTTAATACTAATTGTAATTATTTTGCACTATAGCCTATTTATTGCCTTACCTCCATAACTTGCTACATTTGCACACACTGTATATATATTTTCTGTTGTATTTTTTACTTTATGTTTTGTTTTACCCCATATGTAACTCTGTGTTGTTGTTTTTATCGCACTGCTTTGCTTTATCTTGGCCAGGTCGCAGTTGTAAATGAGAACTTGTTCTCAACTGGCCTATCTGGTTAAATAAAGGTGAAATAAAATATAAATAAATAAAACCTATAATCTTACTCAGATTGTTAACAATGTAACCGGGTTGAATGCAAAGTGTCCTCTAAAATACTCTTTGATTCATCATATTTTAACCAGCACTTCGTTTTAATGTTTCTGGTGTTTTTGCAAATTACATAAGTGATCACTGTGCTGTTGCCTGTGTAAGAGATGGCCAAATTCCTAATCTAACTCCACGTATCATCATGAAAAGAAACTGGAAGCAGTTTGACACAGGTTTTTTCCTGGAATAGAGTTGAATTCATCCCTGATGTTGAATTAGCCATTTCTTACTTCAGGATACAGTATATGCAACAACCATGCCCCTTTCAAACAATACAGAATTAAGGGCAGAGACAACCCTGGTTCTCAGATGAACTAGCTGAAATCATAAGGAAATGGAATGCTGTGTGGGCTAAAGCGAGAAGGTCTGATTCAGTAGATAATTGGATGGCTTTTAAACACCTTCGGAATCAGGGTGTGGCTATGACCCGAAAGATGAAAGCAGACCACTACCTAAAATCTACTGCTGAAAAACTGAATAATCCTTCCAAATTTTGCCAAGTAGTGAAAAGTTTAGGAAATGGAAAGGAAATGCACAGCTCCCTAAACTGCTGGTTGACTCACAGTTGGTAAGTGAGAAAACCTCTATTAATCAACCGTTTCTTGATGAAGGCAGATTATTTGATATTTTTTATTTATTTATTTAATTTTTACTTTATTTAACTAGGCAAGTCAGTTAAGAACAAATTCTTATTTACAATGACGGCCTACACCGGCCAAACCCGGACGACGCTGGGCCAATTGTGCGCCGCCTTATGGGACTCCCAATCACGGCCGGTTGTGATACAGCCTGGAATCGAACCAAGGGGTCTGTAGTGACGCCTCCAGCACTAGATGCAGTGCCTTAGACCGCTGCGCCACTCGGGAGCCCGATAGGGTTAAAGGTCAACATGAGCCCCCTGTAAAATTACCTGACACTCCCGAGCACTCCTTCTCCAGGTTCTCCTTCTCGCCCTTCTCTGTCTCAGAGGTGCGTAGAGCTCTGAAAGCAATTGATATAAAAAAATCCCCTGGCCCTGATGATCTAGACCCCCGCCTCCTACAATTAGCTGCAGACATCATTGCTCCCCCTTTAACATGCATCTTTAACCTCACCCCAGAATTGTATGAAGTCCTCAGGTTGTGGAAATCAGCATTTGTATTACCTCTTTTGAAAGGAGGTGATCCCACGCTACTGAATAACTATTGGCCCATATCTAAGTTGTCTATTCTCGCAAGGGTATTGGAGTCGCTAGTCAATAAGCAGCTTAAGGCCTACCTCCAGGAAAACAATATTTTGAGTGGTAAGCAATCAGGTTTCAGGTCTGGCCATATCACAGCAACTTTGAAGGTTTTGAACAATGTTCCCTGTGCCCTGGATGGGAAACAGCAATGTGTATCTTCATAGACTTGTCAAAGGCGATTGACACTGTGGACCGTACTGTCTTGGTGCAGAGATTGAAGTGTGTTGTGATTACTGGTCATGCTCTGGAGTGGTTTGTGAACTACCTGTCAAATAGAACCCAGTGTGTTAAGGCAGAAGGTTGTAAGTTGGACACTGTAGAGTTGTGCTCGGGTGTGCCTCAAGGATACGTTTTAGGTCCCCTGTTGTTTATTATTATCTATATCAACAACATTGGGAGACATATTGAGACAGCTGATGTACATTTTCATGCGGATGACACTGTTCTCTATTCAAGTGGCAGCAGTTTGACTTTGGCTTTTGAAAAAGCTCAAACAGCTTTTAACATAATTCAACAGAATCTGTACGATTTGAAGCTTTTTCTGAATTCCTCTAAAACAAATTGCATGGTATTTTCCAATACTAAACACTCTGAAAACCATGTAATTACTACCTTGGAATGACATTCTATAGAGCAAGTCAAAACTTACAAATGTCTGGGAGTTTGGGTGGAGAGAACCTTGTCTGGAAACTCAAGCTGCGTATTGGGTTTTATTACCGGCACAAAGCTTGTTTTTCCTTTGCCGCCAGAAAGGAGTTGATTCGTTGTATTTTTCTCTCTGTTTTGGACTATGGTGATACTATTTATGTGCAAGCCTCAAGCTCTACTCTGAAGGCTCTTGACTTTGTGTATCATGCAGCCCTTCGTTTTGTCACCAATCAGAGACGTTTAACTCACCATTGTGATCTCTACAGTGCTGTCGGGTGGACATCACTAGCAATACGCAGGCTCAAACACTGGTACATTCTTATTTATAAGGCCATTTCTGTAAAACTGCCATTTTATCTATCCTCTCTTCTAGCTTGAAATGAAAACACAACATACTCAGATCTCAATCTTGTTTTAGGCTAAGAGTCCGGAAAATGTAAACCGAGCATGGAAAAAGGTCCTTTGATTGCTCAGTCCCTTGGTCTTGGAATTCCCTCCAAGCCAACCTAAAACTCCAGGACCTGGTGTCCCTGGAGGAGTTCAAATAACAAATAGATGAACAGGTTGTTGAGACATGTAGTTGTTTCTAGTTGTCACCTGATGTTTGTAAGGAAGAATGATTTACTTCACACACACACATGCCTGCACACACACACACACACACACACACACACACACACACACACACACACACACACACACACACACACACACATCCACTGTTTGTTTGCTCTTGTATTTGTACTGTTGCCGGTGTCTTCTGTCTGTGTTGGCTGTTTAGTCTTACATTGTTTGTTTTTAAATCCCCCGTCCCCACAGGAGGCCTTTTGCCTCTTGCCAGGCCGTCATTGTAAATAAGAATTTGTTCTAAATTGACTAGCCTGTTTAAATAAAAAAAAATCAGTTCCATCTGGGGCAGAGCGGAGCAGGCCTTTTCTTTTGAATCTCTGTAGACCATAGGAGTTGGCAAGACAGCACAGACAGATCTGGGAACAGGCTATCTCTGTGCCACTGTGGAATAGCCCTTGGTGTACCAGCATGGTTTAA